ATACATACATACATACATACATACATATGTGTGTATATGACATAGACAGAGTTGATAACTACCATTGTGTAATTTGTTATCTGACTGGGTTTTTTGTTTTGTCAAGCCAGCTATTGCAAAGAAAGCCCACCTGTGCTGAACTTGCTTTGTAGTACGCCCCACCGAACAGCAGATGAGTGAGGCTGTTGTGCTCACAGTTAGACTGCGTTCCTGAGATGACCATATTAAGTTGGGGTGGCTGTAGCTCAGGTGGCAGAGCAGGTCAGCCACTAATTAGAAAGTCGGTGGTTCGATCCCAGGCTGCCTCCTGGCTGCATGCCAAATATCCTTGGGTAAGATGCTAACCCCATGTTTGCCTACTGGTGGTGGTCAGAGGGCCCGGTGGCGCCAGTGTCCGGCAGCCTAGCCTCTGTCAGTGCGCCCCAGGGCAGCTGTGGCTACAATGTAGCTTGCCATCGCCAGTGCGTCAATGTGTGTGTGAATGGGTGAATGACTGAATGTAGTGTGAAGCGCTTTGGGGTCCTTAGGGACTAGAAAAAGCGCTATACAAATGCAGGCCATTTACCATATTAAGGATATCAACTCTCACTGACATCAGTCAGAGCCAAGATTAGAAAAAATCTGTGGGAGGATCTTACATCTTTACACGGATTGCTTAGTACATCAGTAATACATCAGTATTTCACACTTTTCTATGTTTAGCATTAGCATCTAGCACTGTAACTGTTTATGACTGAGAATAGAGAAAAGCATAGAAGATTATCAAAGTAGATATGCAGCATCTCTAGTCTCAGACATTCACCGGTTTCAATTTCATTTCAGTCTTGGAAGAAAAGTATTGCAGACGTTTAAAACCTGCGAGTTATCAGAGGTATAAAGTCTTAATTAAAGGCTTCGCTGTGCTTTAAATGAAATACTTGTTAGATTACTTTCTGTCATTTGTCATGACTACAAATGCAGTTTGTATGAACAGAGGAAAGGCTGCATGAAAAGGATACACACAGCCAACCTGCTATTTTTACTGCTTAGAACGCTCAAAATATCAAGGTAACATGATTCATCGATTTTTGAGTTTTCCCACCTCGTGACTGTTGTTACTTTTCTTGTTCACTTAATTACAATTTTCCTGTGAAGTTAATAATCGAATTGTTTGACTTTACACCAGACATCCTTCCTCATGCAACGCTCCAATTTGAGACTGCACTAGCAGTGAGAGTACACTAGCTGGTGATCCCCGTTCATGAGGTTGGGGTTGTGTTTTGCTAACATTCACCTCACAAGCGAAAGGTCACTGGTTCACACGCTAGCATGCAACCCCTGTTGGTTATGAGCCTGGATAAATGGGAGGGTTGTGTCTGGTTTAAAAATCTGTGCTAAGCCAAATATGCACACCAATCTTCTGAGAGCAACTCTTTCATTGACCTGCAGCTAACAATCACCTCATTTTTGTAAAACCTGAATATCAAGGGTCACAGCTGCCAAAGTGAAACTCAGAGAAAGAAAGCTGTTAGGGCAAAAAAACCACAGTTACCCAGGCAGTACTGATGTTCTAGTATATAGCCAGGGTTTCATTTTCCACAGAATTATATTGCAGCTCTAACTTGTAGATGATGTATGTAAAAAATATCTTTGACAAATTCTACTATAATCTAGCTTTAATGTTCACAGCAGATACATTTAAGACTGTATAGAAAATAATGCCAAACACTGAATGTCTGGAACTGCATTGCAGTTAAAAATTAAGCCTTTACATCCAACAATTTATCATTTTTTTGTAACATCTTATCCAACTTAGGATCACAGGGGGATGCTGGACTCTATCCCAGGTACACAGGGTGAAAGGTGGGATATTCCTTAGACAAGTCTCCAGTTCTCACATCTAGAACCATTGCCAAGTTAGAACCATCAATTAACCTAACAAGCATGCATTCAGACTGGGAAGAAACCCAGAGGAGACCGACATAGGCTGTAGCTCCACACCAAAAGGACCCAACTAAGCAGGAGCTTCAAACTCAGAAACTAAAAACTGCACCGCCGTGCTGCCCCACTGCATTTGAAATGATTCAGGAAGATGTAAAACAGGCCTTTCACTTGTGGAAAAGAACTCACTGAATCTAAGAGATTTCAGAGTAGAAAATCACCTCCATATATCCTGTTAGCACTGAGGTGGAGAGGCAAATAGACAGTTTCATTCTTTCTTTCATTTCCCTCTCCATTCCCTTTCATTTCTTAGTAAAACAGCTTTGAAACTAACACATACACAAACCGAGTCCCAAAATGCCTTTTGTGGCTCTCCCGTCTCTCTTAAACCAAGCTCTGTCTCCTACTTTACCTTTTGCTGCACTTGTTTTAAAACAGGCAAAATGTACAAAACTGCGAACAAGCTAAAACGTCTCAAAAACATGACACAGCAGCTGTTGTGTTATATCAAACAAAATGGAACAAGCAGCAGTAGAAAAACTGGCATTGCATTTTTCTGTGCAGACTAAAAGAAATCTCTGCTCCCTACTGACAGACTTTAAAGAAGGAAACCACCGTTGATAGTGTGGCAAAGAAAGCTGTTTAGGGCTTCTGGAGTGCAGCCCAAAACCTATAATTTTAAGTGGGAACGTGTGCGGTTATTGATTGGGGAATAAACGTGTTGAAGAGTGTCTGAGCTGTCGGCAGGCCATGAAGAGTGATGGTAGCGTTGGGATGAGAGTTTCCTGAGAGTCTACAGCCAATAATTTCAAACTACCTTCTGTGTACTCCCATAATTCCCATAAATATAGCCTTTAATCATATCACTATATATATCTATAGGCTCTTTATAGTTATGGTTACTGACAGTATCCAGCAGTAGAAATGAGTGAGCAGAAAAGTCACAGTATGACAATAGAGAGGAAGAAATAATAATAAATAAAGACAGGATGTGACTTCATTTTCTGTAACGATAATGCCAAATAATTCTGCACATTACAGCATTTTATTTTTTATTTAAAAATAAAATAAATATTTAAAAAGTATAAAGTGACATTTGCTCTGACACATTTAGGTGTTTGGTGCAAAACCTACAATTACTTTGTAAGGTGATGAGCTAAATACTAACAACACAATGCTACCCCTGCCTGGTAATTACAGAATGCTGACGCATGTGCGACCACCCTTTGTCCCTTCTTTTCATAATAAAAGCCCTTATCATATACCGCGTATGGGTATATGATACCCATACGCGGTATATGATAAGGGCACTATTGTTTGGTCACTAGGCAACAAGATAACATCATAACCCGGATCTCAGCTGACCCTTCTCACCCTGGACACAGTCTGTTTGACCTGCTCCCCTCAGGCAGGAGGCTCCGGTCCATTCGCACCAGAACCTCTCGCCATAAGAACAGTTTCTTCCCCTCTGCTGTTGGACACATGAACAATAACCACATGACTGTCCCCGCCACTAACACATGACCCTACGCTGTGTCACTGCATCATTTCATGTCTGGCACTGATCACCACCTGCACTCATGTATATATCTTTCTACGTAGCACTCATAATTCTTATTCTCATGTATATATCACATGTATATCTCATGCACATATCTTTCTTTCTACATAGCACTTTAATTCTTATTGTTTGCACTGAAGCACCGCAGCAAATTCCTAATGTTGTAAACCTCAACATCTGGCAATAAACCCATTTAAAAAAAATAAATAAATAAAAAAAAAAAAAAAAAACATCATGAGATATCATGCATAATTGAAGTTTTGTTGATACAAATGAAATGTCATTCATACTATAAAACTGCATAAATTATAATATATATATATTTTATCATTTTATTGTGCATAAAACCTACTAATGGGTCAATTTAAGTGATGGTACGTGGTTGCTAGGCATCATATGGTATCACAATATGGGATGTCAAGTTTGTTTTTTCAGCTCCTGCTTGTGTACGATGAGTTCATGGCCACACACACAGAGATTAAATGAAATATAGTAAGATACATGTTTAAAATGCTATTGTAAAGAATGGAAACTAAATGAAGCTACTAAAATAGATTAAAGATTATGAAATATAGTATGAAGTAAAAAGCGGAATACATTTTTATGTTGACCAAATAAATTTTATCATTTAAAAACATACAGAACTGACTTAAAGGGACAGTTCACACCCACAATTAAACAGATATTTAAACTGTTGGTGCAGGTAGCCCTCCTCTAAGTATATCAGGAGCATGCAGCTAGCTAGCATTACAGCTGAGAGGGGGAAGCCATCCTGCCATCTGACAAGCACAGGGAGAGGCACGCTTTCTTCTGATGCGTGTGATTTGGCAGAAGGATAAAAGTTCCTGTGAATCTTGTCACATGAAAGTGAATGTTTTTTTTAAATTATTTATTAATTTCTTTAGAATAAAAGTGAAATTTTTCAAATATCATCTTTTAATTGATTTATTTTTTCTTGGCACTTTGACAAAGTGCTTTTTTGACTCCATTATTTTTAAGAGAAGGCAGACATCTCTGTATCCATTATCTCTGAAATTGTGATTCAAGCCAAAACTCTCTAGATGGGGGTTAAAAACATGCACATTTAATTTTACATGTAATATTAATTCAGTTATGAAGAATAGGTGTATATAAATGTGTTTGCATTATTTTTATCCCATCACTCTAAAATGTATTACAGCTAAATTCATGCCAATAATTAGGAAGCTATTCGAACCCATAAAAGTAGGTCTTAAGTTGTCTGAAGCGCTTGTGTTGAAGGCACCTGTACTTCTTTTTAGATTCTTCAAGAAGACCTCTTATCTGAAAGGTGCTCTTATCTTCAGTTCTAAAAGCTCCTGGAGAGTCCCAGGTGTTTAAAAACTTTAGCACTTCTTCTTGTTTGGGTCCCTTTTTGACCATTTAAACTGATTGGAATCCAGAGGCTGAAGGTGAAGGTTGTGATCCCAGTAGTAGGTTTTGGAACAAATGTGAATGTGTCTCTTGCGAGCAACCTTGATAATGTGCTTGTCTATTGCAGGTCTGGACGACTGCTTGCAACAGTATGTGTGTGTCTTTGAGCGCGGAGGTGTTTGTGGGGAGCGGCTGCTGAGGATTAGCCACGCCGAACTTGAGGAGCTGGGAGTCTCTCGCATCGGACACCAGGAGCTCATTCTGGAGGCTGTCGACTTGCTCTGTGCCCTGGTGAGTTTGTGTGTTCTGCTTTGTGCTTCACTGTAGTGCTGAGCTCTCATTAGCAGTCTCTACAGCTGCAGCTTTAATGTATGCCACTGCCAGTAATGTGTTAGTGTCCTCCGTTAAACCCTGGCATTTCCTAATTGTCCCTATCTCAAAGTAAAAACAAATAGCCTCGTTTTGAACATTCGGAGTTCGAAATTAATGCAATGAATACTTTTTTGGCTTGAGAAACATGAATTTATGTTTATTAGAAAAATTGATTCAGGGTTAGCAACCTCCTTTTTTAAGGAATATCTGGCAGAACATCAACATCAGCTGTACAAAGCAAGCAACACTGAAACTAAGGCGGCAATATATGAATCATAAAAAATGAGTTACAAATAAGTCATTCAAATGAGGACAGCAAAAATAAAGTCAACTTAAGATGATTAGCATTGTTTTTAGATATAAGATTATAAGGAAGATGAAACCTGAAACACAATGAAACCAGTTTAGCAAAAGTACATCTTAAAAAGAAGAAAAATAATTTCCTCAAATACCAAAATAGTAAATTGGGCAAACTGTTAGTTTAGCCAGACCATTAAGTTATCCATGTCATCTCAGCGCCAGCCCACTGATACCCTTCTACACACCCAATTGATGGGTGTGGCTATTTTAGCTGCTTTAGTTTTCAGCCCGCCCTCCACTCCAGCTCCTCCTTTTCTCACTGTATCTGACTGAATCTGTGCTGAATGTGTTGTCATTAATCTCTGCTCTGTGCTATGTGAGGTTCTTCCTGCTGCGCTCCCTGCTTCTGACTTCCCATGTATGCACATTAAAGGGTAGATCCATACTGTGAAACCGAATTTAACGCAGCGCAAAACAACAGTCTTTTTGTAGCACTCTCGACTGAACTGAACTTGTCACCCTTCTCTGTGCAGTGCTTTTGTCTTCTCTGCGTTGTGTGCTGTTTGCTCCACATCTCTGACATCTCCAGTCAATAAATCTGAATTAAAGTTCCTACAAGCAGATTTTACCATGAGGGCAGAGCAGATGATGAAAATGGCTTCCAGCAGCCTGGTCACATATTCATTCAGACAATTATTCCAAAAAAGAAAAGAAATCTCAGGAAAACTAGATAAATGTCACGATAATCATCATCATCACCCACTCAGACTGCGTTCTCTGAATAATTCCAACAACCATTTTAGTCATTGTGAGTCATTCATATCCATCATTTTAGTCGCCTCCATCGTGGAAGACAATAAAAGACAAAATGGAGCTTATTTTTTTACAATAAAATTGACCAATATGCAGCAAAATCTTAATAAAAGCTGGCAAACCTGCTGACAAATAATTTGTATTCATGAAGGTTCGCTGTTCATGTTTATATCTTTGTTTACATCTAGAACTCAGGGCTGGAGACAGAGAGCGTCAGGACTCTGGCTCACAAGCTCGGCGCCTCAGCCAAGAACCTGCAGAACTTCATTTCCGGACGGCGTCGGAGCAGCCAATCAGAGAGCAGGAGCTCGCGGCGCCTCCCCAATGATCTGCTGACCTCTGTGGTCGACCTCATCACCGCTGCCAAGAGCCTGCTGGCCTGGCTGGACAGGTGAATATACTCTCTAAATTTGTCTTTGCGCACAGACGCGGTGTGTTTATCCAAAGGAGAGATGATGCAGGTTGGTGCTTTAGTTGTACAAACAGATTTTATGATTTACCCTTTGTGGTGTGCCATAGGGTATATGCTCGAAATCTGAGGATTTCCATGCTTGCAGACTGTTTGTGTTATTCAATGATTCACTTGTATGACAGCAGATCTAGTCATGCGAGAGATAAAAATGTGAACTACGTCAAACTTCAGATTTTAGCCAAGCCATGCAGCTCTTTGAAACCTAAATCAAATCAATATTTGTCTTTGCAACAAGACCAATTCTCCTCGGTACACTTGGCAGGTGATGTTTTTCCGAGACTCTTCTGTGAGTTTAGGCTGTCTCAGTGTCTTCTGTCTGATCCTCACCATCATGGAGCCTGATCCCAGACTCTGTGATGTTGAGATCCGGGCCAGACCACCTGTTGCAAGACTGAAGTTATCAGACACCACCCCGATGCTACTGTCTCGGTTTGGATTTGTTTATTAGCACAAAAATAGATAGAAAACTTGTTCTGAGTACGATCTTCTGTCATAATAAAGGCTGTTCAAATTAGGATTGTTCAATATGTCCATGATGAAAAAATTAACAGTGTTTATGTAGGGCGATTAACACCACATGCTGCAGGCACTTATACTGTGCAATGCTTTTAATTAGGGCCCTCCATGAACATAACTCAATAAATTTGTCTATTACATTTATTAAAACGGGACCCAGAGAGCTCAGAAGGCTTTGCAGTGATATTTTGATGAGATGACATACTGTATTGACTTAAGTTAAGAAAGTCAATAAGACTTCAGTGGTCAGTCACTAGATATTTTGGGTTTGCTCAGCTTTTGTTCTACATTATTTGATCAAATTACTTTGAAACAAATGTCAAAATAACAACATTAAATATGGAATTTTTTTTTTACAGTGTAGGCAGAATTGGGTGCTCTGACTGGGGTCTCAGAAGATTTCTGCAGATGCATTTGTATTAAAACATAATAAAACACTGATTAAAATACAAGAGAACGCGATGATTCAAAATAGCTGGGAACAAAGTGATTTACAGAGTGATGAAAACTTGGAAAAATACATGAAATGTAATATAATTAAATCACATATGATTAAAAAAGTACCTCTGGGGTCTGTAGGTAGGGTTAATATAAATAAATGAACAAAACAATAATAGCAATTTATGAGTGTTCATAAATTATTTAAACATTTTTTATGTCAGTTTCACATTACAGTGGACCAGTTATGCATATAACCCTCAGGCTAGAAAGGTATACTGGGAATGACTTTCCCACCATTACTTCTGTGTCTCAAAAGACCGAATATCACGTGAGTTAATTTAAATTTTATTTTGTAATTTAACTCACAAATTTAAACTTAAATATTAACTCATCCATGACATGCAATGTGAAATATTTGCACTGTTTGTACGATGCTGTATGAAAGGAATCTCGTATCTCAGACTATTCAAATATTTCTCATCATGTTTGAGTGAATATAAATACTGTGTATCTAGGTCTGGGCAATAAAACAATAAAGATCATTATTGTGAAACAGCTTTTACTTGACAGAAATATAAGATGGGTTAAATGTAAAGTCGAAAGAACTTGTCCATCCATGTTTTGACCGATGAAAAGTAAGGTCATTGATAATGAGAGTAGCACCAAACCAGTCATGTGGTGGAAACAGAGTTATAACCATGTCAGATTATGTTGACATAGAGCGTAGGAGGAGCAGCCGGCAGCAGCACATGTGCTAATGTTTGCTCTATTGAAGCCGTACACACAAGTACGTTAGGAATGAATGACTGACAAAATTGTCAAGGTCTGCAGGAAGAGCAGACTGAGTCCGATGTGGAGGACCCAAATGCAGATGTCTGGAGACAGAATAATCTTAACAAAAGGCGAGTGGTTCTTTGGCTGATAATCCACAAACAAAAGACTAAGCATTAAATACAAAAATGAAGTGAAAACTTTAAATTACATTAACTAAACTTGGAAAAATACAACGAGATACAAGGAAGTGGGAAACACTGGGAACGTGCTGACAAAGGACAAAGGGAGACTGACACAACAGGAGGGTGATTGAGACAGCTGGGAAACACAGCTGGACCAAATTAGACATAATGAGACAGGGGAAGCAAAAGTGAACATAAAGCATGTGGGATAAGGGACTATCAAAATAAAACAGGAAGCACAAACATATTGAGACTAAGACACACAAGATTGACACGGAAAAAAGGTAAACAAACATGGGGACATGGCAGACTTAACATGGAGCATACTAACATAAAAAAATACAGAGATGTGACTAAGGACAGTAGGGCAACACTAAGGGAACTATTAAACCTATCTAAACTAAACTAGGTATTCATAATACATTGGAAAAACAATATGGGAATGAGAATAACTAATGAGCAAATATATAAATAGAATCTAGGAACATAAAAAAAATTCTCAAAGCCTAAAACAATGAAGATGTAACAAAATTCCAAACTAAACACAAAAACACCAGGTCCAAGACCCAGAACCACGACAACAATGATGTTCATGAAAACCTGCTGTCAAACAAGAAATACCAAGTGACACAGCCCAAGGCTCAAAAGATGAGGACATTGTTTGAAAAGAAGGATCAGAGCCTCTTTAAAGGCCTTCAAAGAAGCAAAGTAGCACACACTGCAAATGGTGTTGCAAACATGTTACCACAAAGACGGGTAGCAGCGTGGCTCATTTTTACCATCTTAAGCAGTGCCATATGCACAGTGCAACACTTTACAGTCCAAGGCAGTTTGTCCAGCACCATCCCTTGTGACAAAAAGTGAAGAGACACTGATAACACAAATGCAACGGTACTTTGTTGTAAAAGACACGATGCCAGTAAGCACAATCGAACATGTCGAATTTTAGCAGCTGATTAAAGTAATTGACCCCAGTTGCAAAACTCCATGACCATAAAAGGTCATTGCCGAAAAGGCTGGCTGTTCACAGAGTGCCTATCAAAGCATGGTAATGGAAAGTTGACCGGAAGAGAAAAGCGTGGTAAGAAACAAATGTGTAATCAATAGGGATAGCAGCACCCTCAAGAGGACTGTCGAGAAAAGTGGATTCAAGAACTTTAGTCAGAGCATCAAGAGTTACCACGAGCACACGTCTTCAGGAAAAAAAAGCTACAGCTTTCACATTCTTAATTTCAAGCCAGTCTTGAACCAGAGAAAATAGTAGAAGCATCGTGGCATATGGAGAAAAAGAACTGGAGTGCCGCTTAGTGGTCCAAAGTCCTTTTTTAAAAATGAAAATAAGCTTTGCTTCTCATTGGGAAATCAATGTCCTAGGGTTGGATGGAAGAGTCAAGAAACTCAGAATCCGAATTTTTTTAAGCAAAGTGTGATCTTTCAGATGTCTCCGATCTGGTGTCCCATGTCATGTGCTGGTCTTGGTGGTGGTTGGTCCAAAGTCAATGCAGCCATTTGCTTTCAACCTTAATGAAGATGCTGATTTTATTTTCTAGCATGACTTAGCACCCTACCACATTGCCAAATCTACTACAGAATGGTTTTCTGACCATGTTATCACTGTGCATGATTTGCTAGCCAAGTCATCTGTCTTGGACCTCACACAGAATCCATGGGTACTGTCAGGAGGAAGATGTGAAAGACTCCACTCAAATTAGCTTAAAGGCCACTTTCGAAGCAACATGGACTTTGAGCACACCTGTCAAAAGCTGACCCACTACATGCCAAACTAAACTGATACAGAAATTCATGAAAACCTAACCAAGTGCTGAGTGTGTAAATGATCATGCTTTTCATTTCAGTATTAAAAATCCTTTTTTATCCCTCAGTCATAAGGTTGATTGAGGTATTGTTGTCATCCTGCTGGGTAGGCAGGCAAGCAATATGGAAACCCAAGTTTGTGAATGAGATAACTGAAGAAGAACGTCACCTAGGAGTTTTTAATTGATACCATAGGTCTATCTACTAAACATCTCGGGCCAGTTTGAATCTCAGTAACCTTGACCTCAAGGTTAGAGGTCAGAGGTCAAGTTTTCAGAAAATCTTCTGCATGCAATAACAAGAACAAGGCAATGTGGGAATTTGAAATTCATACCTATGGTATACCTATGGTATGGTATGAAGGATGAGGGGATACCATTGGCTGCCAGCAGTATTTTTAATAATATTTTTTTAATAATTTCGCATACTGGAGTTCAGATTTTCATGTGCTGTGAACCATGAGCATCCAAATTAAAAGTGATTATATTATAATATACTGAGATCTACTTGTGTAATCATAATCTGAAAGACAAAGAAGTGCATTTCAGTTTCTGTAATATGTGATGTAACCTTAACTGAAAACTTAACTTGGTGTCCATTTGTCCTTATTTTGGGACCTTATGTACAAATCCAAAAAATCAGTTAATCTAAAAGAAATGTTTAGGAAAAAACTAAAATAGTGACTGTAGTAACAAATCCTCTCTCACTTCTCTGTTTTGTACAAGGAAAGCACCAATCTGCAAAACACAAGCTCCCTCCTGCAGATGTTGGTTGTTGACATCGTTTTTGTGAAATATGGTTTTTTTTTTTTTTTTTGTAAAGGGATAATCTCAGACGTTTTTCGCTCTCACCATGCTTCTCTCCTCACTCTCTTCTGTTGTCTGTCACTTCATTTATTCATGACTCGACACGATCTTCTGCGCACAGCACACACATAAGCTACACAACTAAAGGTCTTTGACATCGGTTCTTGAAATGCCAGGCACCCACACCTGTCCTCAAGCCAGCTAGGCCACAAAACAAACATTAATGCATAGAGCCTCAGACTCATAGAAACGCCCACGGCCTCGTAAAAACACACACTCGCAGACAAACACCCACCTCGGCACGCACTGACACGCACTTATGCAAGTGCACACGCGGTCGCCCACGCAAAGTGATGCAATTGAAAATGGCAAAGCGACATTGAGA